GTCCCTCCTCCCGCCGCCCTGCGTGACCTGCCTGCTTTGGAGGGCACGCAAGGTCCGCAGTGGGTGCGGGTACGTCTTCCGAACTGGGCCCCCGAATCTCCGCGGGCCGGGGACGGGCATCTCGCGCGGAGGAGCCTTTCTGTTTTTCAAGGAGCTCCTCTGGGACTAAGAGAAGCTCTGGGATGGAGGAGGGGGGTGCGGGCGTGACTGCAGCCGGCGCCGGCAGAAAGGATTTAGCCTCCCTGCGGAGTCCAGGCCTCCCTGCAGAGTCCAGGCCTCGCACCCACCTGCGGATGGCCTCCCCAGCCAGCCTCTTGGTGCCCTCCTGAATGCCTCCTCTGGTCTGGGACCCCAGTTACCCACTTCCTACAGGGCCTGAGCTGGCCTTACCAGTGGTTCCAAGCTCCTTCTCCGTCTTTTGCTTCGAGACCCCCAAATGACAATCCAGAGGGCGTGCAATGAATTCATTCATGCTGCTGTGTGAACGAATCCTGCTTGTCCAGTTTGGGGATTCATTCGCTTTTGAGGAGAGGAATACCTGGAACCTGAAGGAATGCATATCTTTAGCAACAGGGGCCGACTGAGGGGGAGATGTTTGAGGACCTGTCTGGTACCTCTCCTTGCCTCCCACATGGCACAGCAAGGCCTCTTGGGGCGCAGGCTTTGGTGCTCAAAGGGACCTGGGCCTGGACTGTGGTGAGGAGCCCAGGAACCTCCCTCCCCCACACCCCACCCCGGCCCCTCCAGCCCCAAGAGCCCTGGCCTGGCTGCGCTGTGCGGCTTTCCTCCCATTGTAGCTTCTGCAGAGGCTACCGTGGCTGACAGTCTCCAACAGTTGAAAAGCAAGTATCATTAACAACGTCTTGATGTCAGGATGTCAAGGATACCCTGGGGAAGCACACGATTCGCGGGAGAAAGTCACTCCATGTCTGGGAATTCCAACAAGAAACAAGGAAAATATTAACGTTCTAAGCAAGCTGAGGCTGGCCCTACCAACTTCAAGTACTAATTTAAAACAAATAGATGTGAAGCTGCAAAGAAATGAGGAAGGAGAGAAGGAAGAAAGAAAAAGAATGGGGGGGGGGACTAGCAACTGTTATCAGTTAGACCATTAGGGTAGTTCTTATTCTGTTTCTTCTATGAGTCTCTTTCCTCTTGCCCAAGAATGCATTGTTAAGGGCTGGTGCCTCCGCCAGAGATCTTCGGGTTTGGTTAAACCAGTGCAGGCCCCGAGGAGCAGAGGAATTGTAAACTAAAATCAAATTCATGACTGCTGGGGAAAGAGCCCTCAAATCCAGAGCTGAGTTCCTAACGCTGCTAATTCAACAGGAGGAATTTATGGAGTGCTATCAGGGCTCTGTCTCCACGGGTCTAGAAAATGCTTGATTTTCATGCCCTACACCCACCATTACTGCTAACTTGCAGGAGGCTTTTGCTTGCTGAAGATCTCTCAGCTCGTTTGAGATTAATTATCCCTTGGGCCCTGGTCTGAATGGAAAAAGCACAGCAAGAACAACAAAATATAGGAAGCAAAAGTCTGAACAATGTAGACTTCCCCTGCCAGCTGATCACCTTTTCCTCCCTTCGAAAGTAAAATTATTGGGGGGAGGGGTATGGCTCAGTGGTAGGCAGAGTGCCCACTTAGCATGCACAGAGTCCTGGGTTCAATCCCCAGTACCTCCACTAAAATAGATACACCTAATTACCTCCCCCCAGAAATATACAAATAAAAATATTTTTTAAGAAAAAATAAAATTATCATTTTTTTCATTCAACCACATAACCCTGATATACCAAGGCATTTCCTTTGGTCTCCAAAGCTATTTACTTGACAGCTGAGGATTACTGACTTTCCTTACAGGTTGACCTCAAGGCTCTAGTTCTATTCCAGAGTGGGGAAAAAGGA